CCCCCCTCCCCCGCGCCTGCCAAAGGTATCGCGGGACTGTACGGCCTGGCGGGCACCGACAACTCGTCTGGCGATCACGTCAAGAAGCTCGACATCCTGTCGAACGACATCATGATCTCCGCGCTCACGGTGCGTAAAATTTAGACAAAACGGCATGGACTATGCCGCGGCTCTCGCGTGTTGCGTTTGTGTGCGTGTATTATATTTTCTTTTGTGCGCGTGTGTGCATCACATGCTCACGTCTTGTTTGTACTGGCGTCTTAACGTTCTTGATCTACATCACGATGTATGCTTTGCGCTGGTGTTTGTTGTTTTGTACGGTGGCGTTCGAGCGCGCTGACTGACAAGACCACGTGAGAACCGGAAAACGTCCCCAAGCGTTATTTTTTTTGTTATGTAGGGCATGTCCTCTGTGTGGAGTATGCAGTTTTGGTGTCTGTGATTTCTCTGCGCGGTTGCTCGTGGGTAGGACCTGGTGCAAAGTTTGGCAGTCTGTGAATCTCTGATGTCGCTGTGTTCGCTCCCGGCCTGGCGCGCGTGTCCAGGAGTCGCACATGTGCGCCGTGCTTGTGTCGGAGGAGAACGAGGAGCCGATCATCATCGAGGACTCCAAGTCAGGTAGATGACCGACCTTTCTCTCTCTTCGTGTCTATCCACACGTATAGTTCGTCAGAACCACCAACGAAAGCATGTACTTGAATGCAGATCCTGAAGTAGCTAACTTTGCTCCTCTTGTGTCGTCTCTCTACACGAAGTTCATCAGAATCACCCACGAAAGCATGTACAGTCGCCACCTCGGCTATGGAAACACGTGGTAGAATTTTGCTTTAAAATGTGTCCTCAAGCCGGGGAGTTGTCGTTGAGATTACGATTGATGCCCGCTCCTTATTTTGTACACTCTGCGAGCCACCATGCCTGTGAAAAAAAAAATAATAATAATTTTGGTGTGTGCTTAAGGGAGACACGACTGAAGCAGACACGCACACGCCTTCGTTCTAGAGGATTGCTGTCGAGGTTGTTGCCACGCCCCGCACGTGCACCAGGTGAGACTGGTGTTATGTCGCAACTTTTTCTTACTTCGTCGCCAGGGGGAGATACAACAAGGTAACAGAGCGAAACATGAGTACCGTATATGACACAAGATAACACCCCCCCTGGACCGATTTTCCAAAGCTCTATTACTCCACGATGAAGAGGATGCATAAACGAAACGATACATTTTCGAGAAGCTCTCGACGAGACGGTTTCAACGCCGCCGTTTTCGGCGCTGACTGTTCCTGCAGTTGAGAAATCGAGCTTCGAAAATTGGTCAAGGGTGTGTGTTATCTTGTGTCATATACGGTAGCCCCCCCCCTCATCACGGCGCTTCGCGCTTGGTGATGTGAGAGCCTGGTCCGGTGAGAACCCGGCGTNAAGCACAAGATGCCGAACACCCTTAGCAGGATGCAGCGCACCCTTCATGCGACTCGCCGAATACCTCACGGCCCTTCGCGCTTGGTGACGTGAGAGCCTGGTTCGGTGAGGACCGAGCGTGCTCCGTCTCGGCTTTGTAGGGATGCGAGGTCAATGGTCTAAACGTCTACGGCATGCACGACTATGAGTACACCCCCCCCCCACCCCCTTCTTTTATTGCAGGGAGGTACTGCGTGGCCTTCGATCCCCTGGACGGGTCGTCGAATATCGACTGCAACGTTTCCACGGGGACCATTTTCGCCGTGTACGACAAGAAGTCAGAGACCTCGGGCAACGTCGACGACATCCTGCGCGCCGGCATCGACATCAAGGTGTGGGGATTGGGGTTGGGGTTAGGGTTAGGGGCGCCTGTTTCTGTTCGGGTGATAACTGAATACTGTTCCGAAAAACACAAACAGTTTTTTTTGCCCGCGGGTTCCTCCTCTACAGGGGCGCCGCGGAGAAGGTTGGACGACAGTGTGTACTGTAGTGTTGTTTTTGTCCTGTCCTGGACCCCCCGACCAACTCCAAGACTGCGGTAAATAGTTTTTCGCGCATCTCTGCCCTGGTGGTATGTTTAGATTTGCATACAGTCGATCATTGTCGTTCTCTCCACCGTGAAAGAGAGAGAGAGGGGCAACACCGGGTAGGGCAAGAAAGATTGACAGATGCCAGGTACAAGGGCCAACCCCACGCCTCCAGCACCCAGCGCCGACCCTGATGATATGTTGAGATTGCATACAGCCGATCATTGTCGTTCTCCCTTCCCTCGAGTAAGAGAGGGAGCGAACACCGGGTAGGACAAAGAAGATTAAGAGATGCCAGGTAAAGGGCCAACCCGATGCCCCCAGCGGCACGTTTCGGCGCTGGGCGCTGGGGGCGTCGGGTTAGCCCCTTGTTCCTGGCATCTGTCAATTTTCTTTGTCCTACCCGGTGTTCTCTCCCTCCTTTACTCAAGGTAGGGAGGACGACAACGATCGGCTGAATGCAAATCTCAACATATTATGAGGGCAGACGCCTCCATTAATTTTCGTGCCGTATGTGTCCCCGACTTAACCGTTGTGTTCTTGATCTAGGCCTAAGATCGTTGCCCACCCACCCTACTACTACCGCCATATTAAGGCTTGACGCCATTGGAATATTTACAGATTCATTTCCGCGCCGGCAGCGGTCGGCGCGGCAGGTGTCGACAAAGCATTCTCCGATGGTCATCGCTGCTGCTGCTGCTGCTGGTACTTGTTGTTGTTGTTGTTGTTGTTGTTGTTGTTGCTGTTGTTGTTATTGATGTCGTCGTTGTCTCCACGTTCAAAAACAGTTCCGGTCTCTGCTCAGTATCCTCTAATATCCGTACTGGTCCAACTGACGCGGACGCCTTCCGTGGTGGTCACAAGCAAGCCAACTGCCCCCCCAAAGGGGGGGTACACATTTCTAAAAAATACAAAAAACAAAAATGCTCCTGCGTCTGCACTAAAACAGGTTGCCGGGTACTGCATGTACGGGTCGGCGACGGAGCTGGTGATGACGTTTTACGGGTCGGGCGTACACCGTTTCACGCTGGACCCTTCCCTCGGGGAGTTCATCCACATCGAGGCTAACGTCAAGATACCGACCACGCCCAAGGTGCGGTGCCCGCCAAGGAGGATTCGGGATACATACATACACGCACGCCTGGTTTTCTTCGTTTGGCGTCTGTTGCGTGGAAATGCATGCGTATTTCATTTGTGGTCTGTCTAGCTACCTTCCTTGGTTGTCTGGAAAAACGTGAGCAGATCAACCAACCACTGTGGGCCGAACTCCCCCCACCCCGACTCACTTGATCCACTTTGGGGCTCGTGCCACTGTAGCCGGCAAACACACACTTGACACTTATGGCTTATGATTGGCCAGTCGCTGTATCTTCCGCTCCTCGAGATTTCAACGCCTTCATCTCAACATATTCTCTGTATCACTGTGGAATCATCACCCCCCCCCCCCCCCCCCCCCCCCCCCCCCCCCCCCCCCCCCCCCCCCCC